CAGCCAGGCCTTGATATGCACCTTTACTAGGTTTTCTGAGCACTAATTAGTTTCAGATGCCAGGGCAACAATCTCCAAAACACACTGAAGCACGTGTACGGAATGTATTATAACTCCATTTGTAGTCAATGATGTGAAAACTTTACAAAGCTGTAGAATAATTATGATTACTAATATCCCAATTAGGTTGAGCAGGTATAAAGACATCCTTAGTGTTAGACACTTAATGAATTTTTAAAATTATTTTTTCCCGAATCTCTCTGACTGGCCTTATAACGAACAAGTAATAAATAATTAAATAAATAATTGAAGAGACATTGTTTGGGTTTTTTTCTGGTTTTCTTTTTTTAAGTTTGCCTGCTTGGGATGTTTGAGCCAGTCTTCACAGTCTGAGACAAAGGATTGCAGTTTCAAAACTGACAATGACCAAAATGAGAGAAGAATTACACCCAAAGCTAATTCTAATACTTTTATCAAAAGTATCATGGTTTAAATTATTAATCAAATCTGCAGCCTTTGAGAATTGGTCAGAATTGTTCTATTTTTCTGTATCCCTAAAAGATCATAGAACCATAGACTGGTTTGGGCTGGAAGGGACCCTAAAGATCATCCAGTTCCAACTCCCTGCCATGGGCAGGGACACCTTCCACCAGACCAGGTTGCTCCCAGACCCATCCAGCCTGGCCTTGAACACTGCCAGGGAGGGAGCAGCCACAGCTGCTCTGGGCAGCCTGTGCCAGGGCCTCACCATCCTCACATCTAAGTTCCTCATAAGATTAGAGACAGAGATCAGGGCTCCTCCATAGTAAGCACTGGACAACTAAAAGCAAGATCGTCTTGACTATAATAGACATTGTAGTAGTACATAGACAGAGCAACCACGGAGAAAGGAAGGAGTCTCATTTTATGGACTAGGAAAGAAAGCAGTCTGAAGTGACTTCCTCAAGACTTTTGGAAGCCCCACTGATCTTCTCACTTCACAAGTAAAAATACACTGACTATGCTCCAGCTCTTGCACCTTCATTACTGGGGAAAAACTTCATCCAGAACTGACAACTCAGCTGTCTATCAGACTTGGGCTTCCACTGAAGTACTCCTTTCCTCTTCCTCACCTTCTCTGCCTCACCAGAAAAAATAAATTAAAAAAAAAAAAATCTTCCTTCAAGTTTGCATTGCACACAATAGAGCGTATCTCTTCCTAGAGATAATTTGCTTCTATGACAAGGTCCATGTCTAGAGATGAAATTATTGCCAATACATCCAACAACTGTTGCAATCATACCAAAATAGTATGGGGTACTTAAATTGGGGGGGTGGGGGGGGGGAAGTCATGCACTATTTATTCTTCAGCAGGTAGGTTCATTACACATCACATAGTACTAATAAAAACTTCTGTTAAGCACTTGTGAAACAAGAACTTAAGGAGTAAAACAGCTAAAACATTAGAAGATTACCTATCCTTCTTGCATCACCTGGAATCATTTTGATTTGTCTTATGAACACCAGTACAGCAATAAAACTCAAACAGCCAAAACTGCTGGGACAAGTGCTCTAGGGATGTTCTCCAGCACAGAGCCTGGTCATGCAGTTACCAGCCTGTAACAAACTTCACACTGCAAAAGTCATTGTTATTAGAAGTGAGTCAAGCAAAATGGGCTGCAAATAGACACCAAAATACTTAGCATCACCTGCAAACCAGGATTCCCTTGGATAACGAGGGCAGACCATTTGCTCATACTTGTTCTTCAAAACCTACTTCAGCCACATATATGTATTTACACACTATACACACACACAAGCACCATTCAGCAGGGAGTATCCATAGCAGCATGTTCTCTGACCTTTTCCTCTCATGTCCAATCCAGGTGGCAACACAAAAAAAACGCACAACCATTCCTCCCAGTTCTTCTCATCCCAAGAACTGAAGAAAAGCCCAGAACAGAATAGTGAACAGAGTCCCAGACAGCAGGCCTACCACAGGAACAGCACACAAGACAATTCTGAATTTAGACCAAATAAACAATTACCCAAAATTGGGGTTTCTTATTGCAATTCAAAGGCGCTGTTTTACAAAGACCATATTTACGGGGAAATTCTCTGGGACAATATTGACAGCCGTTCCAGCTCCTTAGGCACAGGCAGAAACAAGACATCTTTTTAAAGAGGTTTGCTTGTCTTGCTAATATAGAAGGAACAGAGAGGCTGGTCCAGCATCGAAGTCATGAAGGTTTAATTCTCTAAGATTGAAATTTACAGGTGAAAAACTGGAATAAACTGATATCAGAAGCAAACTTTGATAAAAATTTTGGATGTGTTCTAAGAATTATTTTACCCTCATGGAAACAAGTGTTTGGAAGAATCTTATCACAGGAGGGACCGTCATCTAACCTTGTGGAAATGACTACTAAGAACATCCCAATAGATAGTAAAAGGCACAAAACCACATAACTCTTGTTAACAGATAATGATCCTTTCTCCTCAGTGACCCAGTTTCCTTATTAACAGTCAGTCATCTAGAGACAATTTCTACTGAGAAACCAAGGTCCTTGAGAAAAAAAAAAAAAGGTAAAGGTTAATTGATCCCTCCAGAAACTGGTTCAGAAAAGACTAACATCAAGTTGAGCGTGTAAGACTAAACTACAGAGTTTATCAAAATGTCAGGTTTAAGTGGACGGTCAACAACAGCTGCTAGGGCAGTAAATGTATAGTGAACATGACTTCCATGAACAATAAACCTCTTCAAGAAGTAAGACTTTAGCTACATTAACATGTAATATGAAACAACAGCAGAGAATCTGTAGAACAGTTGGAGCCAATGACTGGAAGTCCATCCTACTCGCATCTCAGGAGGATTATTCTAGACTAGCAAGAGGCAAGGACAACTTTAGAACAGAGGGCAGCTGGAAGATATTCAATTAGGAAAGGCAAAGGCTTTGAATAAAGTGACATTGAGCTCAGTCTTTTTTCAGCTCTGGAACAGACTTCAGATTGTGCTTCTAAAGCTGAACCAACCTAGGCTTTTGGACACTAAGGTCTTTCTCAAATGAAGTGGCCAAGCCTGTTGAGGTAAGGCAGCAATCAGAACATTCCCTCCACTTCAATTCTGTAGTCAGAAGTACACAGGCATCACATCAACTAGGGAAACATGCAAGCAACATCTGGCAAAGAGGGCAAGAGGAGCATCTAGCAGACAGGAACTTACATGTTGATGGAAGAATATGGAGGTGGCAAGTCTTCTGACATCTAGTTTAATTTCTTTTAGTAAATCTTCCCTTCCTCATTTCCAGATTACTGAGAAATGATGTTTTATGAAGTAACAGCAGCTTTAGTATACTTTAATATAATACTGGTGGTGTGTTTGAAAGGCAATGCACTGTGTCCTTCAGGTTTTTTGTCCCAGTTTTTTCAAATTCCTGTTGTTTGAAAATGCAGTTAAACAATCGCACATTGAAAGGGATTTCACTCACACTTCTACAAACACGAAGAAAGGAATAATGTACATATGCTATGACAGGGCTATTCTGTCAGAAATCTACAATTCTAGCTTAAGGCAACTTCAGACATACAGCTCCATGGTACAGAAATAAAACAGCAGACAGAGCCAAAGGGTACAAAGGACATGGTAACAATGGGTGAGCTGACTGTAGAACTGTTGTTCATCGAATCCTACAATCTGAGAACTGGAGAGCACTCAACAAAATTAGAAAGACGACAGTTTAGCACACAAAAATAAGTTTTGTTAAAAGAGTACACAGTGAAATTTTAGAGCTTGCTGCCACATGAAGTTGTGGAAACAAGGTGTCAAAAGGGTTCAAAAAGGTGAACAGAAATTCACAAACAGGTCCATAAATTAAAAAAGAAAAAAAAGAGGGGGGGAAATAGAATCAGAATCACTAGTTTGGAAGAGACCTCTAAGATCACCAAGTGCAACCATCAACCTACCATCACCATGCCCACTAAACCATGTCCCGAAGCGCTACATCAACACATTTTTTGAACACCTCCAAGGATGGTGACTCCACCACTTCCCTGGGCAGCCTGTTCCACTCTTTGACCACTCTTTCAGTAAAGAAACTTTTCCTAATGACCAATCTAAACCTCCCCTGGCACACCTTGACACTTCCTCTGGTCCTGTCGCTTGTCACTTGGGAGAACAGACCGACCCCCACCTCGCCACAACCTCCTTTCAGGTAGCTGTAGAGAGCGATCAGGTCTCCCCTCAGCCTCCTCTTCTCCAGGCTGAACAACCCCAGTTCCTCAGCCACTACCTCCCATCCCTAACCCAATGGCTGCAGACGCTAGGGAAAGGCAAGCAAAGCAAACCAAAGGCTTATGTCATCTCTCAAAGCCACACCTTTTTACCACTGTCAGACAGAATGTTGGGTTAGGTAAATCATCCTGCAGGGCTGAAGGTGGTATTGCTCATGTTTAATTTACACTGTTTTCCCAATGCTTACGCCTGCCACTGAACCATGTTAAAAGTTAGTGGCTGACTGTCAGATCATCAATCCGGTCCCAGCTTTAACAGATGCAGACGTGATACTAACAGGTCAGCTTCTGTACGGCAATCCCTCCCCCTGCTCCCCAAAGTCCCCCCACAAATGAGCATTGCCTGAGAGTAGGCAGCTTGATCTCTTATCTACAGCAAGGAATCCTCTAACCAAAGACAGAAATCAGGTAGAATCAACTGTTAACACATAGATTTTATTTCTGTATTTACAATGCTCAAAATAAAATATATCAGTATATCTAGCTATTCCTAATAAATGCAAAAATAGAAGACTTCCCTTTTCAACAAAAGTGCAGAAACCTAAATTAGGACATGATAACTTTAAAACATACAATGTTATTTCTCAGTGTTTTTACTATGAAAACAGATTTGTAAAACAATTCATCTTACAGACGACTTTCCATCAAAGCAGCATCACAGGGCAAAACAAGTAGGACATTAGTATGGAAATGTAGTAGCAAATCTTTACTATTTCAAATGGCATAAACTGTTATAAGTTATTGTCACTTATAAAACTGTTTTGACTATTTTTTGCAATAGCTTTACCACATAGCCGAATATTAACTGAGCCATATTTGGTTGACAGCACAACGAAGACACCTTCAAAGTTTCCTTCTTCCTTTGGCTTGAACTGGACTGGTACATTGATGTAATGATGGGATCTGTAAAAACGCAATTATGAGCATATTCATTGCTAATAAACGAGTAAATCCTACCAGACAAAGAAATTCTTATTTAGTTTTGATTTTCACCAAAATATTATATTGGATGTGCACTGGATCATCAAGTTTATTTTTATAGATTTGATTATCTATTATTCTTCTGAGGGACTTTGATTGTAAATTTCATTCTTTCCTACCAATTATACAAAGTACTACAATACTTTATTGCTGCTAGTTTACCTAGACAAGTTTGGTCTGCCTCTTTGCAATAATACCGACAATGCATAAACTATGATTAGAGCAAAGTTACTACATTTCTTCCCTTCAGAAGTCGCGTACACTAAAATTTCCAATTCTTTTTGAAATTCCACCAATTTGAAGCTAGTAAAATAACTTCAATGACTTCTAATTGCCTCCACATTAAGAAATACTTTCCTGAATCATTGCAAGTCAATATACCCATTCCCCAAACAGCATTTTCAAGATTTCACGTTACACTTTTTTAGGTTATATAATTCCTCTTCTATTCAGATTGCATACCTAGTGTAATGGCTGTCTTAATTGTAAAAAGCCTAGAGTGAATGTTTGAAAAAATCTAAGCTATACAAGCAACAAGCTGGAAAGGCCAAGTGGCAGCCAACTGCATTCCATGGCATCCAATGGAAGTACCCAGCAGGTAACAGTAACAGGCACATACTGGGATACAGAAAAATGAACGGCATCACTTAGTAAGACAAAGAAAGAAAAGAGGGGTTTGTTTTCTTTTATTGTAGCTTCAGTTTTCTCCCGTTAACAGTAATTAGTATTATTATCCAACGACCTCTGGAATGTGCTTATTTTCCCTGCTTTTTCTTATTTTGTTCCTACATTTTCATATTCCTTTCCTCTACATTAACACACCCTATCATAATCACTCTGCTCTCCTGCCCTTCTCCTACATTTGGAAATCATAACAGTGGCCCTACATATAAGCCAGATCCCAGCCTCATTTGTTTAGTATCATCCGTAGTGCTAAAACAGTCACGGTAGCAAATACATTTTGAATTTTATTTTATTTTATTTTTTAAACAGATCCTGGTCAATCAAGTAACTTAAGGGTACACACTTTCAGAATAAAACACTGGTATGCTACTGTATTTTTTGAATTGGGTTAATACAAAAAGTAAGCACTAATTACATTGTACTGAATAACAATCAACAAAACAGCAGAGGAGTACAGCCAGATCAGGGTTTCATGTCTCATTTCATTGCCCAGTGTTGTATAAACAAACCTGGCATGCTCTGTCTCTTTGTCCATCTATAATATATGGAATGAAGATATTTACTCAGCTTTATTTTTAAAAAAACCCTATTTTGTAAATGAAGAACATCAGTATGACTTTAATCTGTAACAGATGCATTATATTAGAAGACACAAATTTTAGCAAGAATAAAGTCTGAATCTTCATACAACCAGGACACCTGAGAATTTACAAAAATACAAGTAAATTTCGTAGAAAGTCAGAAGGAATGTGCAAGCCTTTATCATCATCTCCAAAATAATATATGTATACTTCCTTATGTATCCAAACACTTACTCAAAGAGAACAATATAACCAAACTCATGCTATCAGAAACTTAACAGTAAGTTATGTATTGCTCTTTTAAAGAGATGGCCACATCTGGCTGTCAAATATTAATTTTCAGAATACATACTGTATGACCTCAGTGATACCAAGGCACTGCAGTTTCTTGGAATTTAATATAGCGGTCATACACTCTTTGACCTCTAAATTCAGGTGTCCATTTGGTTGGTGCTATACACATTACCGTTCTTCTCTAAAGGCAGAATTAGTCAGCAGCTCCCCTGTGAGGACAGGCTGAGAGAGTCGGGGGTGTTCAGCCTGGAGAAGAGAAGACTCTGGGGAGATCTTAGAGCAGCCTTCAGTGCTGAAAGGGGGCTGCAGGGAAGGTGGGGAGGGACTCTTCATCAGGGAGGGCAGTGATAGGATGAGGGGTAACTGTTTCAAGCTGAAAGAGGGGAGATTTAGGTCAGATATTAGGAAGAAATTCTTCCTCATGAGGGCGGCAAGGCCCTGGCACAGGCTGCCCCAAGCAGCTGTGACTGCCCCCGCCTGGCAGTGCTCAAGGCCAGGCTGGATGGGGCTGGGAGCAACCTGGTCTGGTGGAAGGTGTCCCTGCCCATGGCAGGGGTTGGAGCTAGAAGGTCTTCAAGGTCCCTTTCAATCCAGACCTTTCTGTGATTCTATGTCAGTACATACATTACAGAGTCTGTCAATTTCTCACAATTGGGATAAGGCTGACCACACTTGAATTCTCACACTTACTAATCCAAAGGGAAAGAAGCTATTTTCATTTTCTTCAGCTAACAAAATGGGAAAGTTTAGACTCCAGCTACAACAGCTCCTTGGGCTACTACAGAGCATAAATGTTCTTAGAAATGAAGGAACCCGAAGGTTTTTTTGAAGCACTGTAGCCATAAACTACTCAAGAACAACAGTGTCAGGACAATCAGAATTCCCCTGCAATTAACTGTCTTTCTCTAAACAAAATTCTACCTTACTTCAAGATTTTCTCTATGCCATCAACTCAATTATTCTACGAATATTATATGGCTTTACAGGTTGTTGTACCAGTTTCAAGTGGTATTTCTGAGAAGTCAGGTATGTCTGAAGGCTACTTTATAGACAAACTAATATTGTACTCCTCTAAACACAATAGCAGCAACAGGTAAGTTCAAAAGGAACATATGGGTAACCTGCATCAAAGCCATAGTAACCAGATCTACCATCAATGTATAGTGACTCCTGACACAGAATGGCAGCTATTGGAAACAAAAATAATTAGTCCAGCAAAACCAGTTCTACCTTTTAGTAACATCTGAAATATACTACCCTGTAATCAACTGATTTCAGGTGGCTTCTAAAGGCGATACAATAGAAACGCCTTCGTTTTCAGACTTTTTTTTTAGATCGGCATAACCTGGTAGTCCTTCCAGAAACAGAACTCAGCCAGAGGTTTTTAAAAAGTCAAGTGGTTTTTTTATGTTTCATCTTTATGTTTATATCACTTAAAAGTCTCTTGTTAAAGGTACTCTTTGCAGTAAAAAAGTTCAACTCTGTCGACAAACAGAACTCCCCTTTGAATGTGAATTCCAGATAGGATTCCTTCCCATCCATTCTAATGACTAAATGACATCTCTGTGGTTCAAAAACAAAATATATGCTTTAAGATATTTGGTGAAGATCATTAAAATTCCTTTTTTTTTTCCCCCTACAGTTTTGGTTGCAAGATACTGTATTTATATAAAGCCCATTGCTGTTTTGAACTGAACAGGCTGTGGTAAAGGAACCAGCAGTGCTAAGTATTGGTACTTCTGATGACATAACCAATTGAACAAGAACTGGAAAGCCACTGTACCAACTTCTGAAGGTCAGACTCTTGATACTAAATACAAATTATCCAAATTCAAAACTTGATGACACAAGATTGGTTTCAAATTTGGCGCTCCAAATGAAGAGCATGAAACAGAGCACTTTTATTACTGGACACTTTCTTGGTCCAAAGATGTAGGCAGGTGTTACTTTCCATTTTTACACTCTTATTTACAGACCAATATTCCAAGTTCCTGCAAACAGGTTTCTTATCCGATTACTTCTGAACATTACTTTGTAAGATGTCCAGTTAACCTGGTTCAGATTGAAACAGTTGACACTGGCTTTCTTGAAATCCTCCTTGATGCTGTTCTCAAATAAAAGCCATTTAAACAAGTTCTTTTAACACCTTTTTAAAAGCATCTATCCAAGTCAAGTAATTCCTCTGTGCTTTATGCTCTTAAATGGGAGAGCTTCTTCAGAGAGTTATGTTGACTTCAGATAAATTTCTTTTAAAAAAGCTAGGAATGGCCAATATTTACAACTGAAAAAAACCCAAAGTTACCAGAAAAAAAAGGTTGTAGGATGTTATTAGAAGGTGCAGTATATTCAGTTGATAAACTTCAGAAATAGCAGACAATTTAAAACTCGTTATGTCTACTTTGAATAAAAGCAGTAGGAGTTTATCATCTCTCTCAGATTCCTCAAGGATATTTTTGATATATTTAATCGTCTTCCAGTGACATTACTCACATTTTTTTTCCAGGGACAATCAAATCACCCTGTCCTTTGTCTGCAGCTGTACAGTCTTAGACAGATCTAGCTAGTCGTCTTTGTTCGGACAGATTTTATCTTGGTCACTGCCTCCACAAAAAACCCTTCTGTGCCATCTGATGTGACATATTTAATAAAAAGATGCCTGTTAAATAGAAACACTGGAACACATGCCTAAGTGGAGTTATAGCACTTTGCACTGAAAAGTGACCTAAAGGATACTTTGAATACCCACGGCTAACACCACCACAGCCCTGTCTTTATAGTAAATGCCAAGTACCATTGGCAGATGAAAAACTAGATTAGGAGCCAGAGGATCTAGTTCCATTTAGGATTTTGCTCACAATTTCTCTTCTGATAGCCGTAGTTTCCCCGTCTTTAATGGGGACCTTTTAAAACACTTAGAACGTATGCTGTATGACTCCTAGTGAAATGGTTGCATTTCTGTCTTCCTGACAATGCCACTGTCACAGACAAGCACGTGAGATGCTATACTTCTTGACAAGATGACTAAGAGGACTGTCAAATGCTTGTTGTAATGAACTCCAAAGATGACTGGGTTTATTTTGAGGGACTGTTATCACTAACTTGAAAATTCCTTTTATGCAGGTAATACGCTGAAATACGTGGTATGACCAGGCAATTCCACTGGCTGCTCAAACCTTGTATTTGCAGAGAATCTTTGATGCAGCTCTGCAGGTTTGTCAAATTAGAAGCATGATGAAGGCAATTTACTTGGTCTGTTGTGCAGAAAGTATAAATGGAAGGAATGACTTGATTGTGCACAGCATGCCAAATGGTTAAATGAAGCATTAGGCTTAGCATTAAAAGCAGCAGCACTGTTAGAAACAATTTGCAGGGAAGAAATTGGCAGATGTAGAAATAACTGTGTGGGCTCATTCTGCTTGTAACCAAGATTATAGAGTACAGCTTCACAAAGAAAAAGCCAACCAAAAAACTTTAACTAGACAGCCAGAATGTTGGATATTTATATCTACATTTTAGCACTGTACATAGAGAAGATATTATCTTACTGAATTACTTGTTGAATTTTTTTTGTTAGGCAAGAATGTTAGCATATGCATTACTCACCTTAGAGAGTATTTTGAGTGCTTGATGTAGAAAGGCTCACTGGGACTTACAAATGTCAGCTGCAATTTAATACAAAATGCTTAAAACCACACTGTATCTAAGCCTACCATACTCAATTTATGACATGCCTAAGACAAATCAGGTCACTTAAAATACAGCTTTACACAGTCCCAGGATCTGAAAATAAAGCATGCCCACATTTGTGCATAGTAAGAAAAAGTCACATCTCAATATTTTAACGAAGTTTAAAAGAAAGAAAGAAATTGGGATAACAACAAATCTAAGCAAACTATAATCTATTATTTTTCAGTTGCAAATATTACGAATACACTCAGTGATTCAGTCAGAGAAAAGTAAAGAAAAATTACAATGAGCAAAATTCTTCTAATACAATATTGACTTTTGAAACTAACAAACTAAGACTTGTACTACAGCAATCTTATGTCAAGTAAAAAAACCAGTGCAGTTGAACTGTTCAAAGGACTTATTAAAATCTATTTAAAATAAAGTTTGTCAAACTTACAAAGTCTGTTGTAAAGGAATTATTCCGCAAGTTGACCTTCAACGTGCATGATTCCCCAACTCTGGTTGGAGGAAAAGTGTACAAGTCTTCTGGTGCATATACCCCTCGAATTACCTGATTTTGTCTAATTTGAAAAAAGGATTTAAGTTATTAAGGTTTCCCGCTTATACGGTCTGGTATATTGATTGCATGCTTCAAGATAAGAGGTGTATTTTCTGAGACTAAATCAGGAAAAATAGAAAGATCCTGAAGGCATCAACTCTCTCACCTCAAGTTTTACAGGCAATACATTTTAGCCAGAAAGAATAATGAAAGCATCATAAATGTACATTGACTTACACACCCTTTTACAAGCTGAATTTTTCCCCCCATATGCTTTACTAGAGAACTAGACTCTTCTCAGAGATGTCTTGTCTAACCAAAACATTTTACTCCCCTGCCATATTCACATCACCCCATAGTAAAAGAACTGGAAATCAATTTAAGACTGAAGAACAGCAAGGTTAGGACCTGCAGTACAGTGGTCTTCTCAGAAGCGACTTTACAGTTCTATGGAGCCTCCAAAAGGGGAGTATACAAAAAGTATACATAAGATTAAGGCTGTTACCACTTCTTCTACATCAAATCATGGTTAGGCAACTTTAGAAGCCCCACAGAAAAAGAAAAGCATGGGAGATTGCATAATACAAAGCCATTAAGAGGTTTAGCAAGTCTGTCTTTTGCAGCTGTTTACTCTTTAACAGAATCATAGGATAATTCAGGTCAGAAGAGATTCAGGACATCTTTAGTTCAACCTCTTGCTGCAATCAGGGTCAGCTGTGACCCTGGGGTCACAGGGATCAGGCTGCTCAGGGCTTTGTCCAGTCAGACCCTGAAAACCTTCAAGGACAGAGACTGCGCAGTCTCTTCCACCACCTACTGTCCTAATGGTAAAAAAGGTTTTGGTTGTGGGGTTGGGTTCCCACCCCTCCCCCCCTCCCTTTTACCAGTTGCAGACTCTCTCATTTCAAGTTTTGTCCATACATACCCTGCTTTCATTGTACGTGCTTCAGAGTAAACCGTTTCTGGTATAACTGGAAGCTCAGTTTCTGTGAGGGCACTTGCAGAAGCTTTCACAACTGAAGTTTCATTTTCTGTTCTACTACCCTATTGGCAAAAACAGAGAAGCCTTTAAACTTTGCTTTCAAAAGTATTTAAATATTCAATATGTAAGTCATTTCCCTTACCAAGACTTTTTATTTAAAGTATAATCTTTCAGGAACAGTAGAGTCTGGATCATTGAGACAGAAGCAACGATTCAGGAGGAATACTTTAACAGGCTTCTGTCTTACAAATACTTTATTTGTTACAAGCCAGTTCACAAACTAGCAGCACAGGTGGAATCTCGAGAAGGCTGCTAACAACGAAGATTTTACTAAAAGCCAAAACAAAAAACTAATTCCTCTGCAGATATTCTGCCCATATGCCTCAAGAACAGCAAAGTCAGCTAAATAACTGCTCAGAAAGAAGGAAGGCATAAGTCATTATTATAGTTTGAATTCTCACAACAAAAAGCTTTGTAATAATTTTGTATTATGAACAATACATCCTTCTCAAAGAAAGGTTTCTCAAGAGAGACGGAATCCGATAATGCATTATATGGTAGTTGTTACATTCAGAAATTAGGCCAAAATATTTACCATCAGCAGGACCCCCATCTAGTGTACTCAATACAAGCAGACCAGATCACCCTAAGGGAATACTTCACCAAATAGCCAACTTCAAATTCTGCATTGTTTAACAAATCTAGCCAGATACCGTTTGGAGCCCCTGGGATCGCAACATCTTGAACAAAGTTAAAGAACCAAAAGAACCTCCTACACTTATGGTTGTACAACATTATCTCAATTTTTGAAACTGTGCTGATGTTTTAGACAAGCAGTTGATTCCCTTACGCAGAGAAGATTAAAAAAATAGATTCATCTTCAATAGAGCTGCTATGACAAACTTGTCTTTTAGACATTAATTTCTTCTACTGAAAGAGCTGCTAATCAATCTGTCAGAAATAGCAGCAGCCAAAAAAAACCCCTTAATTTTAAAGAATATTTTTCAGTTGCAAACAACTTACGAACCACAGTAGAACCCAATACATAAAGACAAGAAAGGATTTGTACATGTGTCTTGTTTCAAGAGCTTTTAATTTTCCATGTAGTGAAAAAATGATGGGTGTCATGCCTCACCATTATCTTTCAAATTCTGATTTATCAATAAGGCAAGTTTACTGCATGAGAATATGGCACATTATGGAAAACGATCAGAAGCTCCCCCAGTCTATAAGGGCATCTTGACATACAGCATGCTTTACCACAGCCCAAACTGACTTCTCCTGGTTCAAAGGAAAGCAGTATGTTAACACTGTCCAAACAGTTACAGTTGAGTGCTGTTATTCCAAAGCCACTTCAGGAGCATAGAAACTTGTTTAGCTTTAAAATTGGAATTGCTTTGCTCACAGAGTTTGAAAAGATTTGACTTGCTCTCGCTTCTGGGACACTCAAGGAAGATGAAGCTTTGTATTGCTGCTGATAATAATCAAATCAGGACTCTTAGTTAGCAGCATGTTTTGTTTTCAGAAATTCAACTCAGTTTGCTACAAAATGATGCATTACACAGTTACATAGTTACACAGCTGAAGTACATAAACCACGTACATTAAAAATGTAAAGAAATCCAAAACAAAACTATTTGTAACATCTTCAAACAATAGCAGGGATTCTTTACGAAGTCCTCAACTTTCTACATGCTAAAGGAACAATCAGAACTTAGGCGCTGTTTCAGCCTTTTGGCAAGTTCTTCTAGTTCCCTGTTTCACCCAGAAGGGACCAGTTACTAGACAGAAATACCAATCCAAGACTTCCATGCACAATGGTGATACTCATTCTTAGCTCAACAATCTTAGAACAATACCTGACAGCAGCCTAACAAGTGTTTCTCAAGAAAAGAAAAAACTAAATTTGAATAGCCAGTATTGGGAGGTTGGGGCTGCAAAGTACACGTAGAACCCCTCCTTTCTTCGTCTCTGCCATCAGTTTTGGAGACATGATCTTCTGAGCTCCTAACTATGGTTTCCAGTGGCAGGGACTGCAAATGCATGCAGAGCATAAACGAAGTCACAGTTAATTAATTTTTCAGAAAAAAATGAAAGCAGTAAGTGACTCTGATTTTCCTAACTTCACCTTGTTATTTAGCTCTTTCCTGAGCTCTTCCAAATTTTTAATTTCTTTTGAAGTGGTGCTATAAATAAATACCACTCAGTCACTCTGAATGACAATCAGTCAGCCTTCCCACTTCATTCTATCAAAAGTCACACTAACCAGAGCCGTAGCCCTCTGCCTCAGCAAACCCAGTAGCCTCCAAGTCCTTTTTAAACTTTTCATACTTGCAGTAACACAGTCTAAACTCTTGATCCTTAGGATGTAATAGTTTATAATTTACTTCTCTTCTCAACTAAAAGTGGATCTGCTGCAACAATCTAAATAAAGGTTCTGGGTTGACTCCTCTTCCAAACAGATTGTATAGTTCCTTACCTAGTCAATAAATTAAGTATTTCCCTTTCAACTCTTGTTCAAAATGATCAGGACACATTTCAAGTATTTTCTACAAAATTTTTCCCACATGCACAGAGAGATGCTGAAAAGATCTAATTGTTAACAGCTTTGAAAAAAAAAATCAAAAGGAACAAGTCTGACACAGTAGCTTAAAAACATTAAGTTGTGCCGCACAAAGATTTACACAACTCTGACAACTAGTCAGGTTTTAAGAAGAGAATTCTTCAAAACTCTAGATTTCTGATAAAGAATTCATCTTCTCTTAATTTGAAGTAGCTTTAAACAGACAAATGACATAGACATTTTCCTCGTCTTATGGAAAATTATGTTCAAAGAACTAGATGAAAGCTGAATAAAAACCCCTCCCAAACCAAGCATTATAGAGGTCTCATTCTTCATGCCAAAATTCAAAGTTATTTATCACATACTTTTTTAACAAGTCCCCTTTTCAACACAATTAACGACTGGGAAGAACAAGGACCCTACAAAATAAAAGGTAAGGTACCCCAGTAAGAAGGGTAAGTAAGGGTTCCTACTACCGAAACAGGCTTGGTACCCTAAAGAAAGATCCCACATCTTTATCTGGGCTTCTTAGGAAAATCGAGTCAAACTCTCTGGAGAGGACACCAAAGCATATACAGCAATCACACAATACCGAATTTACAACGCTCTTCACGTTCAGCTTATTTAACTAATCATTAGAATTAGTTCTTCCTAATAGTAACAGATTCTCTGTCCTATGTAGACTCCTCTTGCATGGATGCTGAAGGAGGGATTAAAAGCAAGGTAAGGACAGAGAGCACAGAAAACCAGTTCTAACTCCCAAATCCCTCCTTCCAAGCCTCACGATAAAGTTAGAGCTGAGGAACGACAAGGGAGCAAAGGAGAGCTCAAATCCAATCGCTCCAACGTACAAATCTCAAAATCACCCCAACCTATGTTGTTACTCTGATAAAATACTCAGATTCTATCAGAGACACATCCATATCTCCAATACAGATATTTGAAAATTCTGGTATTGCATTAAATTACATATTATGCATAGGCCAGTTACTTTGCTATTTATTTACAAAAATAAACCCAATCCTGTTAGTGTCCAATACAAACCTGCATCTACAGAGACAATCCCCACAGCAGGCAAGTTTGTCTCTACTTTCTCTGAGGAAAATTTTTCATCTTAAATGCCGAAAAATAATGCAGTATGACATCAGCAAGACAAAAAAGGTGTTTTGTAACATAAGAAAAACAGTACAGTTTAGTCCAACAAAAATATGAGCAGAGATTTTTTTCAGAATATGCCACTGATGAGAAAGAACTGTATAGTCAAATTAATATGTTACCAAAAATTTGTGCTTAGGAGAACATTTATAGCATTTGCTTACTTACTGTTCCAGACAATTGAAATCTTAATTTATGTTTCCAACTAGGTTTTTCAACTGGGTGACATTCAAGGTCCCAGAACTGGCAGTAATCCCCTTTATCTCTAGGTATAAAGATTACAGCAACCTACAAAAACAAGAAAAAAATTTTGCAGAAGCTTATTAGAATAATCTGTACATCTTCGCAATTTTACCTAGGCAAAGTTAGAGGTAAGCCAGCACAAAATTTACACACTACAGAACGTACATTCAATACACAGGTGATCTTGTAGAAAGCAATACAGCTCTTCCTCCTTTGCCCACAAGAGAAAAAGTTCTGATGAATAGGTTGTGCAAGTAATCTCAAACAAAATTTGAGTTCAGCTAATCTGGTTTAAGCAAAGTCAGCAAGTGCTTGCACAATTATTTCTATTAGTAAAATGAGGGGAGAAGGGGACCAGGAGGGGAAATATGTGCAGCTGAAACACAGCAATACCTTCCTTCATCTGTCAGCTAAGCTGTGAACAACTGCACTCCTCCAGCTCCAAGTCTGTAAGCACACTGTGCTACAATTATTAGAAGGCCTGAAATCTAAACCGACTTGCAGGCTATGCATTTGACCACCCTTAAAGGTCACCTATGTAACAAAGGCTTGTGTCCACAGAGTGCTGTACGAGCTTAATTCAAGAGCAAACTTGCATTGTTTTCAGAGCTGAGGTTGGGGGAAGAGAGAGAAGGGGAGCAGCAGATTAGAACAGATCACTACAACTGTATCTAAACAGCCAAATATTATCATACCCACTGCAAAAACCAGCAAATCATGATAGCACTGTACCTTACCAGCTCTGCCAACAGCCTGACATGCCAATAACGTACATGTTACTCAAATAGGCCTGAATTAGGATTACTAAGGCAAAGATAATTGTTTATGTTCAAATAATTGTCTTCAATATTATGAAATAGCTATGAAACTGGACAGGAATATGTTTTTTATATCTTGTAAACAGATTACAAATTGCATCATCATAGAAATAATATGGTTAAGGAATGTCATAATAATCCGTACTGATTAGAAGATAGGTGTTCATAAAAAGGAACAGATAGAATTGAAGTAGCATTGAGGGAGAAGGTGAGGGACAAAAGCCCCATAGAAACTCATTCAGTATGTCCTTGGATGTGCTTTATAATTGTGGTTATGAAACCCTCTACTGGCCACGAGATAAAATTGTAAGTCAAACGAAATGAACTTCGGCAACAGACAATTCTTGAACAAGTATGACAAGACTGCTTCTAAGGAAGGGAAACCGGTTCTCACACCGGTTTCATAAGAACCCGTTATTATTTGCTATTTTCTTGTGGATTTTTAAAGAACATCTAAAAATCAATTTTCTGTTGTAGAATCTCTTTTAAAAAAAAAATCCCACCACCATTTCCAAGTCAAACTACAAACTGCATGAATTCTTAGAATCAACTACGCCAACATTATAATGGCTGTGGTAAGTAGATACTGACTACCTGATACACCCCAGAACCCAATTTCAGAAGGCAAACGTTTTATCATTATTAGATAAAAATACGACCAGCTTCCAAAATTCAAACGTTATTTCAGAGAATTTCTCACGTAAGTTCCTATTTCACAATGAGATACACCAATATGCTTGGAATATTTATACATGTCAGCTTACCTTCTCTTTTCCATGAGCTTCAAGAGTACCAGAAACACGGGAACATCTGAAAGCGGAGTAAGTAACCCTATAAACACAACCAGTTCTATCCACATCCTGCAAATAAAGTTATGAGTCAGATTCAGAAGGGAAAGGAAAAAAAACACAAGACAAAACCAAGCCACACAATACCCCCCCCCACACACACCACCCTTGCAAAGGGCCGAAGAAAATACACCAAATCAAGCTGCTTTCAAGTGAACATATAGTATTGACTCCCTAAACATCTGTGCAGTCACCATAGCTACTGACTTCCAGTTTAGAGGTGGTGCACTGGCTGGAACATGGATACTGTCTTCTGGGCTACAGCTAAGAGTGCTACATAACCATTTTTCATTATTTCACAGCAACAGACGATAATAATTCTTACATAAAATCAGAGTGACCATCACAGCATTTCAGACTATCAAAAAATAGGGAAGCATTTACAAATATCAATGGTACAGCTACAGTAATTGCACAGTCAACAGCACCATAATTCAAATATCCTTGACCTAACCTAAATTACCTACAGAGATACCATGTTCAGCATAACTCCAGCAGCCCAAGTCTCAAAACAAGGCAAGTCTAGCATTTGGGAGCCAAAAGGGACACCTTTCTTTCATGTATACTTGATTACTTAATGCAATCTGGATGATGACACTGGATGAGCACAAGCAAACTGTAAGCCCATAAGGAAACCAGAAATTGTCCCACAGAGCACTTACTGAGTCACAGTCAGGGAGTGCATTAGATGAAAAAAAGGAGTAAAACATTTCCCTGATATGGACAGAGGTAAAAAGAAGCTCTGTAACTGAGTTCATGCTCAGATATATATTCTTTCTTGAGAGGAGGGAGGGAGAAAAAGAGAGCAGAAGGAAGAGAGAAGGAAAAAAAGCAAGATATTTGCATAAAACTACCAATGCAAGCATTCACTCACTTTAACATATGGTGGCGCAAAAGATGACAAATGCCACTTCATGTTTTCGTCCCCTTTATTCTCCATTTCCAGGTAACTTTCTAGAAGAGAAATAGCAGACTGGTACCTCAAACGTCTTTGTTCAAGTAGTCAAGTATCTTTAGTGGAAACAGTTCAAACACAAACTATGTTTCACAATACACAGAAGTTTAACAGAAACAGTTGCAGCGATGCCGACTCCAAGAGCAGACTCAACCAAAGCACACTGTCATAAAATTCTTGAAAGCATATACAAGTGAAATTTGGAAGTAAACATATTGAAGATGCTTACAAAAAACAAAGTGAGACCTAAATCCCACCCTCAATAACCCTAAAACAATAATAGATAAACCTCTAAAAGAACGTGAAGCATACAGGTGATATTATGTGAATGTATTGCTGGCAGTAGGAAGTTAGCTTCTTATAAATGCAGAACATGACAAATAGCCCAGAGATCGAAGTCACCTCCAACAGTCTCAGTTTACTGCATTCAGATTTTTGGCAGATACTTTCACATAGCAGTGTGTGTGGTAATATCAAAAAACCCCCAAGAAGATACCCAGCTCCCTCCCAAGATATTATTTGACTTTTCAGGGAAAAAACACTGACAGCATTTTAGTTTGGGACCAATCAAATAAAGTTGCACCAAATAATGCAATGAAGTTGCATCCTAGTAGGGATTTGTCACCCAGCATACATATATATATATATAACGTATATGTGTGTGTGTATATATATATATGAAACCTCAATAAAAAGCTTATGCTTGACTTACAGAAAGGAGAACAACTCACTGACATTATCAGAAAATCCCTACTCTGACAGTATCAATAAGCACATCACACCTTGCAACGTGCCTCTTGCCAAGAATCAACAGGACATTTGTAAGCTCATCTCAGCCTAGAGTAGCACTTCAAGAAGTTTAGCTATGTATACATATATACTATATAGGACATTTATAGAAACAGGAAAGGAAAGGAGTATTATATGTAGCCAAAACCCACAGATATAATTGATAAATTAAGACTTCAAAGTTCTAAAGTCTGTTAAATAAAAATGTAGCATCAGCAAATCATTTTAAAAAAATCCCCATTACCTAGAAAAAGAAAACTAAGCACTACCAAAAAATCTGGTATCTAGATAACAGAATGATGGTTTCATACAGCAGTTTGGAGAATTTTAAGCATCACTGGAATTAGAAGTATAGACTGAGGATTTCAGACTCCATTAACAGTGTCCTCCTGGATCATTAAGTACAAGACAAGGATAGCCAGACTCATAGCACACATTCCTATCGTCTTAAGGAAGAACATTTATTTCCTTGCTACACACAGATAATTTGTCTCACATCTTAGGGACACATACACAGATGATGAGAATGGGACTACTGCAAAAGTATTGACCCAAAAAAGCTTCAACAAAACGCAGTAACATCACCGTGCCCTCTTTGCCCAGGCACAGTATGGTTGCATTTATCATGGCTGCTTTAAAAATTGGCAGCTTACCTGTCTGTATGCAAACCTATCTGTGGGAAAAAGTGTGGCAACACTGCATAATGAGAAAAAAAAAAAAAAGACTTCTGAAAAGAGTTCCATCACAAGTAGTAACATTTCAAACTAAAGTCAGAAGAGGGGAACTGGTCAATCACACCTATCAGACTAGAAGAACAAAGTCAAGGCACTCAAGTTCCCAAACACACAATACAACAAACAAAAACTCTGAACACAAGATACTACAGATGCTGCATTTACTAAATGAACAATATTACCTGAGCTTTGGCCAGGCCTTGTTTTCGGAAAAACAACGGTTCTGTTCTTTAATTCCATTCTTGTTAGAGGGAGCACTGAGAGAGGCCTTGCCACATGAATAGCAGGATTTTCAGACTGTGGAGTAAATATATCACGTCTTCTAGCAGGAAAGTCTGCTCCAGACACACTCTGTGCAACCACCTCTTGGATCTGAACTTTAATAAACTTTTGCACAATTTGGAGAAAAAGAAAGATTTAAATAGTGAACATTGATATATTAACAAGTCAAGCTATTTATTTCCTTGAGCTGTAAGAGCTCACGTTGCTCAGTTTTACATTCCAACAGAGAAAGAGTCTCATACGTTAAATCACCAGGTCTGCTCCAACTTCAGTTCACAAATTTTAAAGATTTAAGGACAAGTTTAATTTAGGAGAACACAAAAATTTACTGAAAATTTGCTATCTAGATGTTTCAGTTCAACAGGAATAATAATTTAAACTAGTTAAATTTCATTGACAACTCCTACAATATTCTCTGCTCGCAGAGAACGGGAACAGGGCTGCCTCACACTGAACGAGCTTGTGTTCACCTCTGCTACATAATTAGCACTTTCAAAACTTTCAGGTAATGCAGGTAAAAATCTCAGCATGCCTTTTGCTTAATTGGATAGGTAGCAAAGAAATGGTGAGAGCATTATCAACTATCAGCTCTCTTACACTCTGATTGGTTTTGCTACGTTCTCTATTTTTGTCCTGGCAGGTTTCTGCTCTTAAATCCACTTTTCATATTGTGGATTAAAACATAGTTAAACATGTCCACAGTCTCCATTTCCTTCTCAACTCAGTCTTTTCAACAACTTCCCTTTTTTTTGGCATTTTTTTAAAGCAGTTTCCAATTCTGTATCATACCTCACCCTCCTCCATCAAGAAGGAAAGTAGATAGATATGCTGTTTTACCTTTTCAGTGCCTTTTATTTGTCACTCCATGCATTGTTACAAGTAACCCAAAATACATACTGGCTGTAAAAATAAAAAGCAGGTGTTTATTTCTTTGGGGGAGTTTACCAAGCAAACTTTCTGCTTTTACACTGATGGAAGAAGAAACTTGGCTTCATAAATTTTATTTATATGCCTTAATTTAATCAGGGAAAAGTCTTGGATTAAAATGCATGAAGAGCAAGAACCTGTTCCAGACATTCTTTATCAGAGACTTGTCGGCCAGAAGCTTACATTTACCTTAAGGGAGCTCAAAAGGAGCTATGGTGACTTGTCCAACAACCTCCTTTAACTTCTTTTATTTTAAAATATTATATAGACTATTTTTATATATGCATGTGTACATATATACATTTAGCTTTTCTAGAAGATGACTCATAAGATAGCAGGGGGAATACAGATGCAATTTTGTTGGCAATTCATTCCAAGTGCTCACATCACAGTTTCTTCAGATGTGAACGAACGAAGAATCTCAGTTTGGAAAACAGCTTAACTATGTTTCCTCTTTTCAAATTCTAGAGAATAAGGGAAGTTGACAGAACTGACGCCTCATACCCAAAAGGTTTTAGCAACACTACTAGACCTTATCCAGCAAAGTAAAACAAACAGTTGCAATCTCAACTCTCAAGCGAGCCACGTACCTTTTGTCCGTTATCACAATGGATATAGATTAGGCCACTCCAAGGAATTAACGAAGGCTTTGTGGCAAGTGATGGATTAGGACTCACCAGAATTAGTGTACTGCTCCTAATAAAAAAAATATTAGCATGATCCTCATCCTAGAATGAGTACCTACAACAGATCTCACCAGCCAGTACCGCTCCTCCCGCCCCAGCCCTGAAAAAAATGATGCACTTTTAAGATAGCAAGTTAGTGAAGATGCTCTAGAGAGAGTTAAATTTAAGGTATTCTGATATCCAATATATTATCAAGCTTTAGCAGTCAGAAACTTAACACTACCACACTTTATAAATTTGTCATGGACGGTTGTATAAGAGGTCATGAGGAAAGAGTAAGTCTTATCTATTGCTAACATATACAACTGGCCAGGCTGTGTAAAGCAGACTTACAACTGCAGGTTTCAGAAAAATACGGGGATTGTACTGTTCAAAGTACACTGCACAAATTGCACTTCAATAATCTTTTAAACTAATGCTAATTTTAGAGAAGCAGCTTGCTTTCCTTTCTCCCATGCAGAACAGATCTTGGGAAAAAGAAAAGCCTTTCAATGTTATCAATGTTTTCTATAGTTATTTAGAGTGCAGGGCACTGAAAAGTCTGACCTCGCTTGAAGCAGTTATGGCATCACACAGCAATTTAAGCAGTAAGAGCATAAATTCTGATTTATAGCGTTCCATATTCTACACTAGAGACATTTAAGTAAAAGAAGCGAGAAAAATGAAGTATTTAAAAAACTAGCACAAAATCGCTGAAGGAAAGGTCATTGGTTGTATGTTAGCAAAAACACTCAAGCTAATTCTTCAGGTGTGGCTTAAGATGTCATTAGCGCAGCACTTTGCATGTGAAAAGTTTACTTTAGGAACAAGATCAGCCTCCACAGAAAAGTCAGTTCCATAATCATTGTCATAACAGGACCATCTCCACAAACTTCACCTAACAGATGCTAATGGCTTTAAAATACTAAACAAGGATACTGAAATTTCCTTTAAAAATTGTGGGGGTTTTTTTGAATCTCAGCAGTTTTCAGAATCTTCTCACTCATGGTTCTCTCTCTCACGTACAAGCTGCATATGTATGTGATTTATTATTTAACACACACTATCTGTTATCACAAAACATCCCTCTGTCTTTGCTCCTACCAGCTTATCTTTGACATTAAGCGCAAACTTCTCATGCAAATCCAGCTTGCATGGGGTCACAAACCTCCAGC